CCTCCTCCTCCTCCTCCTCCTCCTCCTCCTCCTCCTCCTCCTCCTCCTCGTTCACAGAACCCCCTCACGTTGTGAAACAAGCATGACGGGAGGTTTTCGTGATTTTTGGCCTGTGGGAGCCCTCGCCAGGTCCTTTCGGCCTGTGGGAGCCCTCGCCAGGTCCCCGGACCGTCGAAAAACGACGCAGGATGAAGATTCGGTCCCTGTGAAGGGGTCGAGACCTCTCGGGGTCGACGTTGTGACAAAATCACGATGTCAGGATCCTGCAGGAGCCTGCAGGAACCTGCAAGATCCTGCGCGCAGGCCCGAGTCAATGAGCCCCTGGCTCTGCAGGATCCTGCAATATCAGGTACTCTGGCTGTCCCCCGTTTGCATTGACCCCCATCTCAAGGCTCCCGGTGTCTCCTCCTCATATTCCTGTGCCCTCCAGCTGGTGTATGTGCTCCTTCCTGCCATGCCCCCATCCCTCTCCCCCTTTATCCCATCCTTTCATCTGCACACATTTCTGCTGTGGCGCCTGCGATCACCGATTATCTGCCTCTTCGCCTCGCGCGATGGACTGAGGCTAAGACAACCCGCGGTAGGCGGGTCTGACACATCTACTCTCAGCGTGTGGGCGCACGCATGAGCGGCACGGATCGTTCCCCGCGTCGCGTCGCTGCACGCCGGAATTGCGGATGCAAAGCCCTGCGCGGGGGGGTATGTTCGCGCTCACTCGTGTGTAGGTGTAACCTCAGAGGGTCTTAGTGTTGCTCCCCCGCCTCCCCTGTTTCTCTCGACGGGGAACAAACTCGCTCCTCCTCATCCTCCTCCTCCTGCTCCTCCTCCTCCTCCTCCTCCTCGTCCTCCTCCGCCCTGCTTCTCCTCCTGCTGCTGCTCCTCCTCCTCCTTCTCCTCCTCTTCGTCCTCCTCCTGCTTCTGCTCCTCCTCGCGGTCGTTGTCGTACAGTCGTCGTCGTCGTCGTCGTCGTCGTCGTCGTCGTCGTCGTCGTCGTCGTCGTCGTCGTCGTCGTCGTCGTCGTCGTCGTCGTGGTGGTCGTCGCGTCGGATGTGATTCCCTCTATTGTTGGGCGAGCTGGATCATGTTGGGAAACTTCTTTCACCCAGGGAGTGATGGAGTGTGGGCTACCTTACACGCGAGAGGAAGTGTGAGCATCTTCTCCTGGGGATTGCAATAGGAATCAGTGGTTGTAGTTGTAGTCGTGATTGAAATCGTGGTTGTTTGAGGGAGTTTCTGTGGAACTCACGTCATCCTCACCCCCGGCGCGAAGAGCACGAGCCCAGAGCGGCCTCCGGCACCGTTTCCGGACGGATCCGCTGGATCCGCTGGATCCGGTGACGAATCCCAAACCGGCGCCCTCGCCTGAGACATCCTCACAAAACGGGCCCCGGGGGGGATGCCCAGAGGAGCCCAGAGCGGCCTCCGGCACCGTTTCCGGACGGATCCGATGGATCCGCTGGATCCGGTGACGAATCCCAAACCGGCGCCCTCGCCTGAGACATCCTCACAAAACGGGCCCCGGGGGGATGCCCAGAGGAGCCCAGAGCGGCCTCCGGCACCGTTTCCGGACGGATCCGCTGGATCCGCTGGATCCGCTGGATCCGCTGGATCCGGTGACGAATCCCAAACCGGCGCCCTCGCCTGAGACATCCTCACAAAACGGGCCCCGGGGGGGGATGCCCAGAGGAGCCCAGAGCGGCCTCCGGCACCGTTTCCGGACGGATCCGCTGGATCCGCTGGATCCGGGACGAATCCTAAACCGGCGCCCTCGCCTGAGACATCCTCACAAAACGGGCCCCGGGGGGGATGCCCAGAGGAGCCCAGAGCGGCCTCCGGCACCGTTTCCGGACGGATCCGCTAGATCCGCTGGATCCGCTGGATCCGGTGACGAATCCCAAACCGGCGCACTCGCCTGAGACATCCTCACAAAACGGGCCCCGGGGGGGATGCCCAGAGGAGCCCAGAGCGGCCTCCGGCACCGTTTCCGGACGGATCCGCTGGATCCGCTGGATCCGGTGACGAATCCCAAACCGGCGCCCTCGCCTGAGACATCCTCACAAAACGGGCCACGGGGGGGATGCCCAGAGGAGCCCAGAGCGGCCTCCGGCACCGTTTCCGGACGGATCCGCTGGATCCGCTGGATCCGGTGACGAATCCCAAACCGGCGCCCTCGCCTGAGACATCCTCACAAAACGGGCCCCGGGGGGGATGCCCAGAGGAGCGCAGAGCGGCCTCCGGCACCGTTTCCGGACGGATCCGCTGGATCCGCTGGATCCGCTGGATCCGGTGACGAATCCCAAACTGGCGCCCTCGCCTGAGACATCCTCTCAAAACGGGCCCCGGGGGGGATGCCCAGAGGAGCCCAGAGCGGCCTCCGGCACCGTTTCCGGACGGATCCGTTGGATCCGCTGGATCCGCTGGATCCGGTGACGAATCCCAAACCGGCGCCCTCGCCTGAGACATCCTCACAAAACGGGCCCCGGGAGGGATGCCCAGAGGA